AATAACGTATTTGAAAAGAGCAGACTTAAATGCATATACTCATGTGTTTTAATCTATCTCAGATCGTTAATTAACAAAATAAATAAAAGTTAAAGAGTAAGCTCGAACTCGGCTCTATAATTTTTTCAAGTGCTGTATAACGTTGTTTATAATTCCGAAACTAAAACGTTTTTCGGTTTTGCTCTTTGACACCGATATTTTTTTAGAGCTTTTCTTCCTAAAACATGGTACGTTCAATATTCAGTTGTATCACCTCATTTTCAAAACACAATTAAAAACTGAAGTCAAGTCTAACAGGGATATTTTGTGCAACTGTTGCAGACAGGAGAGCCGTTTTTCTTTTTAAAGTCTTGATACCGGGTAGCCTATTCAGTTTGTACTACTAAGAATCAAGAAACGAAAAGAATTTTTTTTTTCGAAGAAGATTTTTGGTTCAAGATTAAAGCTTAAACCAAAAATAAAACACAAAAACACAATACATATCACCGGAAAAAAAATAAGTTGGTTTAGAGTTGCTGAAAAGTGGTTTTTCCTATTCAGCACACTCTATAACACAGAAGATTTTCTGTTTTTGGCCCGGGGTACTTCCGAAAGTTTAGGAAAAGTTTTCAAATTAATATTATTTTTCCATGGAAAACTTTTTGCGCCATTTTGTTTCAAAATTTTTCTTGACCTTTCGGAGGTACCCCGAGCCAAAAATAGAAAATCTTCTGGGTTATCGAGTGTGCTGAGTACGAAAAATGACTTTTCAGCAACTCTAAACCAACTTAATTTTTTTTGTTCCGGTGATATGAAAAATACACATTGAAGGATAACATCGAGCCATTGCACAACTTCAATCATTGTGCAGAATATAGGAAAGAACGGCGAAGTTGATTTTTGCAGTTCGTCTGCCAAGATCAAGTTCGTGTGTTCGATCCTAGCTTCGTGCAAGGATTGATTTTGTGTTTTGATAGTTTAAGTATCAGAATGATGTAATGGGAATTTATATTCTCGATTTCGTTCTGGTTCAAGATTAAAGCTTAAACCAACGAAAAGAAGCGTTCTGCAAAAATTAGTATTATCTATGGTTATGTCATCGTAACGTACAGGATTAAAAGATGAAATTTTACGTAGATACTGCATCTGAGTGAATCGTACCTTTTTTGTACAATTAAGAGAGAGGCAACCGCCCCCGTTTTTTTCATTACTTTATAGAGCGCATCAAGCTGTATATACTCTGAAGTGCTTTTGATGAACAGACTTGGAATTGCTGAGAAAAAAAATTTTACGAATTTCATACGATTTTGACCCTTTATTTAAAAAATTTATAAAAAATTCAAAATTGAATGAATCGTAACTTTTTTGTACAATTAACCAAAAAGAATGAAAGTACTTGCTTCCAGAGAAAATTTGTTTCGTACATTTTATTCCTCATCCTTCACTCTGAGTCTATGGTAAAAATTTTCAAGTTTACCACAGAGCTTCCTTATTTTCTGGTCGAACTCGATAGATTCTGGTCCGTAATAAGCAAAACCGAAGAAAATTTCTTTCTTTTTGTTACTTGAGGTTGTCGAGCTTGAGATGTGTTTATTTTTTTGAAAATTTCTTTCAAATAGTAATNTTTAAGAACTTTACTCATATACAGACTAGACGTGTCGTTTTTCGTTCTATATTTTTCATTATATATTTGACTATGTATAGTCTTAATTTTGACACACTCACTTCCACTTTTTTCCATTCTGATGATGACAGTGGATTCTGTCGAAATATCAATGAAATAAATAAATTATGATTAGTTAATCATGTTCATAGCAGTTTTGTACTTCATTACCTCACTATTTAAATCATCAACTGCTCTCTTTCCTAACTTTAATTAGCAATGTCTGGACTACAGTTTCCTATTTTCCTTAGATATGGTGCATTAATTCGTTGTTGATTTCGTGAATACGGTGGAGAGTAGTAGATGACTCATAAATCGGTTGTGCAGGGAGATTTGTTAACTGCAGTTAACAATTCTCTCTGCACAATCTCTCGATTATACATGTACAACTGAACAAGAAATGGCAACGTCAGATCACCGAAGAAAAAGAACAAAAACGGAATGCTTGCATCATCGAGGAAGAAAACGATAGAATTACAATGCAAAGTACTACTGATACAGATCAGTCCGTGACGATGGTCGAAGCAGCGACTCTTTTGAATGATGATGATAATCTGTCCTGCGACTCTATTTACACATAATCTATCAAAGCAATCTCTTTATCAAGTGGTCCTACTTGACAGCAGATCGCACGAACATTCACGCTGAACAAAAATCAAACGGCAGCATTCATGATCATTACGGGCCATCTGGATGGTGTCGATGGGATCTAGAAAGAGAGTATGAACATAGTTTCTACGTAGGAGAACGTCGCGTGCACTGCGTCTTTTGAATTTCAGATGGTAGTGAAGAGCAGCTCATCATGTGCGTACCCGGATGTGATGGTACTGCTAAATCTCAGTTGATACGAGCCATTACTGCCTACTTTGGTGAAACAAAGCGAGCACGAAAACTGTGCAAACTCACTCCAACATCAGTGGCAGCAGCTGAAATTGATGGAATGACCGTCCACTCGTTCTTAGGCGAGGAAAGAAACAACAAGCGAAAGTCCAAACGCTCGGATCGTGCTGGTCAAATCAAGTTAGAAAATGAATGGCGCTTCATTGAATATGTCATTCTCGACGAGATGTTCATGGTGGGTCTAAGCTTGCTGGCCCGACTGAGTAACATTATCGCGACAGCTAAACACGCTGATCCTATTGTTCCATTCGGCGGCGTCAAGCTTGTTTTGTTTGGTGACTATATACAATATTCTCCTGTATTCGATCGGCCCCTTTACTATGATTATTCGTCAACTATGAGCAATTCATCAACTAGAATCAAGAAATCACCGACAGAAAACGATATTCAGCAGAAGAGTGCTCGTGCATTGATTCTGCAAATTAACTGTGTTGTCATACTCGAACAACAGATGAGAACAGTCGATCGAACTTATCAAGATCTACTCGGTAGGCTTCGCAAGGGCGAAGGAACATACGAAGACTGGCTCTTACTTCAAACACGAGTGATTGGGAGAGCTCTTCAAATCTCTCTCAACGATTCACCTTGGAGTGAGGTACGAGACTCTTTCATCCCCTCGAAGCTATTCGCTCTACTCAGAATCACAGAAACTCTTACCGAAATCTTTTCCGAATAGAAACAACACCCGAATGAGCATTCTATATTCATACTCATACTGAACTATTCTGCTTTCAGGCTTCAATCCTCGTATATCGCAATGAACTGCGGACCGAATTGAACAATCGAGCAGTTATCAATAAAGCCCATCAACTCGGTCAACCACCAACGGTAGTTGTGGCTCAAGATTAGATCAACACGAAAAAAGAAGTGGATCTTCTCACCCTGAGTAAACGTCTTCTGGCTCTGCCTGATAACAAGACTGACCATATTCGTGGTTATCTACCACTCGTTCCTGGCATGCCTGTTTTATAGCAAGAGAACATTGCTTGTGAAGTTGGTCTTTCGAATGGTACACCAGGCACCTTCCACAAGCTAGTTTACGATGAAACAGCAGAACACACATCAGGTTCGAATGAGAGTGCCTTTACCAGCGATACACTCTTCGTCCGCAACGCACATTACGCACTGATCGAAATAGCCAAGTCGAAAACGAAAGGTTTTGAGAATCTTGAACCTCAAATTGTACCTATTCCTGTCGTCGACAAAACATTCACCGTTAGCCTGGAACAACTGTATTGTGACAAGGCTCGATAATCAAAGCACTCAGTGCGAAACGGTGTAAGACCACCATCAATGTAAAACGACGGGGTCAACCACTAGTTCCTGCTTATTCTATCACCACGCATAAAAGTCAAGGTCAGACACTACCAAAGATCATCATCGACTTGAACATACCTCCTGGCATAGCAGAAGTAGCATCCAGTTATGTCCCTCTCTCTCTTGTGTGAAGCAGCTAGCTGATATCGTCATTCTCCGCGATTTCGACATCAGTGCATTGCGAATCAAACCGTCGAAAAGCCACTTAGAAGAAATGTCCCGACTGTCCGCCATTTTTGTAGCAACAAAGCAGCTATAGAGTCATTACTTCACTGACTCTTAGGTATCTTCTGATCATTCAGCTACACTGATTTTCCGACAGGCATGCGCGTTGCTCATTTACTATCAACGGTTATAAATAATATTTTCTAGATTCTTTCAATTTAGTGATTCAGCATTGAAACTTGCTGTCGATGTCAATTACCGTAGAAACTCTGGTTGAAGTGTTCAACCCACAGCTTGCACATAAGAACGGCTTACTTTCGCTAATGTATTATTGCTCGAATATTAACTGCAGGGTTGATTTTTTTGCTTCATTTCTATCACCTTATGGGTTTTGCATGTCTTCTTTCCAACTTCTTTTTTACTAGCGTTCAATTCATTCTACTGCTAATCGACATGATATGTGAACGATACTACAGTCGTAATATATAAACATGAGTTTTCTGTCACTTAAACATAATGTCGATTCATCCAGTTACCGTACGAAATAAAATATTCATAGATACAATTTAATAGAAAAATATTGATCGCAGATTATTATCAATCCTAATAAAGCGCACAAGCTGCGACCTGAAAACATTTCTTGAGCAAGTTGAGCTCAGCTTATTCGAAATGAACAGTTGAAATCTATGCATCAGTCGTTCACTGAAATGTGTCGACATTGGGCTGTCCTCTTTTTCTTCGAACGGAGACGCTTGAATGCCATAAAAACAGAAACACTGACTAATACTGTCGAACGAAGTTTGTCAAACCCAAATGTCTAGTTATTCATCTTGGATGATCTTTATTGAAGAAGTCGAGAATCGCCTTTCAGAAAAGGGTCAGCGAATCCGGGGATGAGCGCTACTTGTTAAGAAATCAGACGATGACCTTCCAATAATGGCATCAACCTATTCGAAGACCGCTTATTTTATCATATTTCTCCGCGTTAACCGAATTCCCTCTCTTACCGTCTGTTCAGTTAGATTACCTTCTTCGACCTCGATTTTTCCGTTAGCAACCTGAACCGGTTCTACACGGCATATGATTGGTGTGGCTGAGTGGAGTGCCGGCTGTATTTGGGGTATTAAAGGTGGGAGTGAAGGTGAGGATAAGGGTGGAAATGGAGATGCGATCAGAAGAGAGTGGAGTGGGTTTTATTTCGAAGAAATAAAACGATGACGACGAGAAATGATCAAGGTGATAGGAGAGACGAGAGAGTGAGAAACCAACATCCAACATAGAAAATCGACGAGTGAGAGACGAAAAACGAAGGACGAGGCAAAATGGAAAACAGAAGGGAAAATCAGGACATCAAAAATAATCAACACAAAGACAAAGAAAAGGAAGGAATGGTCAAGGAGGAGGATGAATCTCATCCCCAAGATGACCAGCGAGAGGGCGAGACGAAGAACATCAAACGATGACAGGAAAGAAAAAGAACTCAAAGCGAAAGACTGAAGTTAGCGTCATGGAGCGACATGTAGTGACGCTAACAATGAGTTACGCTCTCATCTTTACAGTTTGTTTGTTATGTAAGGCAAGAGGGCTTCGGTGAACTGCCAAAGGAGCGAAGAGTCCTGCGTATGGAATGCCGCGCCTGTATAGTACGTGCGTCTTTGGCCTTGGAGCGCGTAGAGCTTCTTGTAAAAGCCTTCTTTGATCGCACTTGTCGACACAGTCAACTCGAATGGACTGTGGCTGTGGAACACCGCGAATTCTGGTGTGGCAGATACATTTTTGCCTGCTCTTTTGAGCCGCTTTATGCTTGAGAGAATATCTTTTTTGACTTGGTGGCCTGGTATTGAAGAAGGGCTTCCATATTTCACACTCAGCAACCCTGGAACACCGGTCGGATCAATGGAGTATATACCAGGTAATTTGGGTAGACTATATAGCGTATTGGGACCAACGTTGACGACTGACAGGTTATCGGGAATTCCAGTATTCCGCAGCAAACCTGTGTAATACCCAGTATTGCGAAATTGTTGGAACAGCGTCCGTTCGCTCTCACTCAAGTCAAACCCCTGAAGTTTGTTCAGCTTGGGTGGAATCGAGAAGATAATCTCTTTGGATTTGATCAAGATCAGTCCGGACGGAGTTTTGATCAGGACCTTTGCATAGTGTTTGCCCCCACGGTACATGGCTATGATTTGACTGTTCAGCAACACATCTTGGTCCAAGTAGGCATAGGCTGCTTCATATAACAAGCTGTTATCCTGTAGCTTGGTGGTGAGAAAATCAGTCTGAATGTCTTTAACTGTATTGGAACCGATAAGCTTTAACACATACAAGGTTGGTTGAAGTAGCAAGTCGCCTAGACCTTGTCCGAAACTAAAGACAACGTTGACAACAGATGCGAGGGAGTACTTTTTGACAAAGTCGCCAAACGTAAGAAGCAGGTCCGATGGGACAGGATAAGGGAGATCAAATCCGTGTTTCAAGTACGGGTACTTTGCAAGTTGCCTCCTGTACGCGGCAAGAGCAGCTGTTGGATCGCTGGGCGCGTAGCCAGAGTCAATATTCCCGGTGCGGAAATCAAAATATTCTGAGACCACGCCCGGCGTATTGGAGTTTGCTGTGACCAAAGATATATTGAAGCGAGCAAAGTATTTTTTCACAATGTCTAAATCGTGGAAGACAACTACGCCAACATCTATCGTGGCACCAGTTACTGGATCAGTGTACGTTTGGGTGTGTCCGCCGAGACGACCTCGCTTTTCAACCACGGCCACAGTCTTACCCATGTCTCGAAGCCGGACTGCCGCGTATGTCCCCGAGGCACCACCCCCTATCACACAGACATCCCGAGTGAGTATGCTGCTGACGTTGTAACGAAAACCATTGACCTTGACAGAAGTCGAGGCTTCAGAAACCGTTATTCCAGTCCCTATCCAACCAAGACTGATAAGTATCAAAGAAACCGACCAACTAAGTTCCATTATGGATGGTTCTTTAAGCAAAGTGGTATGTATGTATGTACCTAGAGCACAAAATCCTGATTCGATCACGAATTTTTATCTTTTTAGAAAACAATTCATAACTTCACTCCAAAACGTCTGTTTGCGTTAATTTTTAGTTTCTGGAATAGAGTAGATGTGCCTCTATCTTTTCATGTAATTTTTATCACAAATTAACTAGTCCTTGATGGGCACTAATCGTTCAAAAGAGGTATATTCATAACTGTTGTCCTTCTGATGAGTGTATGAATAAATATCTACAACTGTCTTCTACTTTCAGAAAAAAAATCCGCTCATTTGGTTGAAGTACGGTGAAGATATTCAATTTTTAGTCTGTTTGATGACTTACTGGACATCCTGTATAATGGCCGAAAGGCAGGCTCTCGCTCACATCTGGATTTAAAGCATTTGTGATGCAGACAAAATGAAGATTTGGATAAGGTCGAAACCGACACAAAATACAGACAGGATCAAAACCAAGACAGAGCCGGAAAGGGTAAGGAGCGGGATAGAATGGAGCTGAAAAGATTCTAAGTGAACACCATGATCAGAAAAGATTTTGTTCCGCTAATATGTCGGTGGGAAGTAACGAACCTGAAGACTGACGGAAGTGATAGCATTGAAATACCAATAGATAGAGTATTCATATGAAGAAGAGCTGCGAGTGAATTTCCCAACATGCAAGATCGGTAGCTTATACACGAGCCCACCCGACTATTATTCTCGGATAAATGCAGGGTGCGATAGTGTATTTTCCCGGGCAACGCCGGGTACCTCTGCTAGTACTTTATATCAAAAAACAAAGGCGTCACAAGATGCAGTGTCAAAAACCCCATAATCTGCAGAGCAGTGCTCATTTCGATTCAGTACTTTGAGATTTCAAAAATAGAGATAAGGAATTATAGTCTTCGTCTTTGCCATAATGGATGCTTTGACGAGTATACTCGTCGATAACGTTCAAGGGGGTCAATTAGAGACTGGTCGTTGAGCTTAATGTAAAACGAAGTTTAGTTTTATTACTTAACACTTAATATTAAGTATTATGTTTTTCGACTAAGCATTTATTCACATGAAATTAAATGGTTAAATGGTATGCGTGCGACAAATACAACTTAATTTCGACTTTTCTGTTAGAAGTGAACTACAAGTAGCGCGAAATTAATAGATTCGCTGACCCTTTTCTAAAAGAAGGAAAATCTATCATTGTATGTTTGAGAAGAAAACGCATTTCGAAACGGTAGATATTGCTCCTATGAATGGACAATATGAATGGACACGACTTTAAACTAAAACATGGCGATTGCAAGACCGTTCCGATTAAAAAAACGTCAATTTTACCTAAGTCTGGTTTTTTATCAATAATATACTAGTTACTTATCTCATACTCGTATTATCGTGACTATTGTTCTATTGTATAGATAGAAAATTGTATCAAAGATGAAATTTTCGCAACAGTGTTACATTAACCCTGCTCAGCGTGTCATATTTTTGAGAAAAAAAGTAAGGGATTTGAATCACTATCAAAAGTCAATTACTATTTACTAGTTTTACTGATATTTTATAGGTGGGTTATTGAAATTGAAAACAAGGTATTTTCGAAACGCTATTACAGCGATACTGATCGAGTATTATTTTGAGAATAACTTCAGGTAGATAAAAGAAAAAAGTTTCTTCTGTTTCCCACAGAAATATCATACAGTATAGTTTAAACAACATGTAATAGTGAAGATTGGAGCTTCACATTAGAATGCATAAATAGTTTCAAAATAAGGTAAAACATATTGCAACGAAAAAACTGTAATTAATGATTACTATCCATTTCAAAATAGAATGGCCGGTCAGTGTTGACCTTATAGCTCCGGAACGGTGATAGATAGAGAGGTGCGGTTTTCACCATTCGAAAGAGAAATATGGGGCTACGATACCCATGA